ACACACACAGACAACCCCGTAACAATATGCGTTTTGTACTGCTGTTACACAGCACAAAACGCACAACAATTAGGCGTAGAAGTTATGTCTCGTGGAACGGCATTGGTTGTAAATGCCAGGTAGTCTTCCAGCACGAAATTTGCCCGGTACGGTGGTTGTTATCGAGAGAAAAAGGGAGCAGGGCAGCGGGGGGCGACGATGCGGCGTCGTTTCCGGATGCGAGATTGCCGTGCGGATAAGGGCAAAGATTGGGGGGCAGAGGGGTGGGGTGCTTTGTTGCGGGGGATATCTGTTATCGTGGGGCTGATCGAACAATAACTTCTACAACAGCGGATTTCTTCGGAACAAGCAGCCCCCCAAAATCGCTATCGTTTTTATAATCTATTCAAAAAAGATCCATTTCTTTTACTATGCATATAGTTTTATGCGTTTTTTTGGATGTATGCAAATTAAGACGTTTGCATCGCGAACCTTTATATGTATGTATGTACGTGTGTATGTATGTATAAGAGTGTATGTATGTATGTATGTATGTGTGTATGTATGTATGTATGTATGTATGTATGTATGTATGTATGTATATGTATGTATGTATGTATGTAATGTATATGTATGTATGTATGTATGTATGTATGTATGTATGTATGTATGTATGTATGTATGTATGTTTGTTATGTATGTATATATGTGTGTATGTATGAGCGTGTATGTATGCATGTATGTATGTATGCATGTATGTATGTTTGTATATATGTTTGTATGTGTGTATATGTATGTATGTATGTATGTATGCATGTGGATATGACTGTATGTGTGTATATATCTAAGTATATATATGTATATCCATGTAGAGGCATATTATTTTGCATAAATTTATTTGGTTATGTGTGCCTGTCACTTCTAAGAGTCAAAAAACTTGGAGTCTGGAAGTGCTTGTGGATTCTGTGTTACCGGGGTTTCGGTGCAAAGCTGTAAAATTCGAGGCCTAAGTGTGGAAAAAAAAAATGTAGGATTTGAGGTTTGAATCAAGTGCAGGGTCTAGGAGCTTAAAAATGTTTTTGTTAAAAACCATATGTGAATCAATAAATTGCGGCCGTTAAAGGCCAAGTTGTAACCTTCACAGCAAAACCCTTCACAGTTTACTCTCTGTGAAAGACGAAGGCACATTGAGAAGTAGCCCGAGTGGTATTATTGCACATGCCAATAGCAACCACTCCTGGCCGTAGGCGGATCTATCAGGGGCGGAGGGAGGGGCCTTTCGCCCCGCCGCTTCCCCCGCTCCCCCCTCCCCTCCGGCGGCACAAGCACCAGTGCTGCAACAGCCCGGGTCTGTTCATAAATAAAGCTAAATTAACCCTAAGTAGCAGTGTTACAACTCTATTCCTAGTTTTTGCATAGTTCCAGGATGGGAGGATACCCTTCTTTCCCCCGTCCTTCCCTCCGCGCGCCCAGGAATCCGTCCTGGATCCGCCTATGCTGCTGGCAGGGCTGTCGATGACTGGCTGTTTGCTTGAAAGCAGGTTGATTGACGGTTTTGTGACTCATTGACATGATGCATTAGTACGAATTTACCATCAAAACGAATGAACGAATCGTAGAGGGATTGATTGCCTCACTGGCAGTGAAATTGAACTTTTTAGCATGAGACAGACGGTTTTTTATGGCTGATTTTTGACCATTAGCATGGCACTTGAAACAAAAGTTAATTCATGGCGTACTTCTCCAACTACGCAACCAGCAGCTTGTCAAATTGCTTTGACGAATGCTGCAATGCCCGATGGTCATGGCTTTCTGATAACCTTGACCATTTGCTTCGTATTCTGGCCACCAGCAGAATCCTCGAACATAAAACATTTATACGTTATAGCCGTTTCGAGATATTTTTGACGTAGATTTGTACCCCATACCTCACATTTCCTGTTTTGCTACTCCTAGGCTATAATGGGCAACGTACGGGCTAATAAACTGCGTTGGTACCATTCAATTATCCGCTTTGTCCATCTGCTCTCTCCTGTCTTGCTCGGCTTGGCTTTTTTTTTAAGTTATAAAAGTGATATTTGATTTTTTATACGTTATAAAGTGGTATTTATGCTCTTTTTTTTGCAACTTCTCATCATTGTTTTTTTTTTTCGCTTTTTCAGCTATAATTTTATCAGATTTTTGCTTGAAGACGTGAGATGTCGGATGGTCTGGTGCAGCGACGTAAAATACCGGCCGCAGTCGTCAAGGGCGAAGAGGTAAATTCTCTCTCTCCGAAATGAGGCCTCTCACTTTTCCAGCGCTTGACAGAGTGAGTAGTTTTAATTTTTTAGGTAAAAGATGCGGAAGAAATAGAAAGCGATGATTCGAAGGGTGAATTCGAAGATGACAAAGATACACGATTAACACTGATGGAGCAGATTCTGCTGCTGGGATTGAAAGACAGAGAAGTATGAGTTTTTTTGCATTTTCATGTAATTTAAGGATTGTTTCACCCACCGCGGTCTTATCCCTTACTTGTGTTACGGGGCCGTTGTTGTTACTGAAATGCAACCAAGTTTTGTGGGAGAAAAATTCCACGAAAAAACAGTTACATATTTTTAAAAAAAAAAAAGAAAATCCGGGAATCGAACCACTCTCCTTCACGTCTTGACGTGACTTACTGTCCACTGCGTCACCGGTGTTTGTCCTCCAAGATCATCCTGGCAGCACATCTACTGCGTATCTGCTTTTCGGGGTAGAATATGTCTTTGTTTTTCTGGCTGCCTTCTCCAGGCAATATGTGGTTTTTTCAAAGTTTTTTTTTTGTAGCGACTTCATCCTTGCCGACTTTTCGCGGGTTTTATGCGACACTCTGTAATTCATGCTCTTCGAGATTTGGAAGCACTTGGAAATAACTTGATGAGTAGCACATGTCTAGCACAGCCACGCGCTGACAAAACTGTTAGTTGGTGGTTTCTTTTTTCATGAATTGCTAGGAAAGAAGCTAATGACGGCTAGCTAACTTGCATTAATTCTTAGTGGGTAAGAGTGAGAGGAGACGGGGGGGG